CCTGCACCAACAGCTCCGCCCCCAAGTTCTGCGGGGCCGAGAGGCAGGGCCCTTGGGCGCTGGGAGCCTCAGGGCACGGCCTGAAGGACACTGGCCAAGCCTGGGCGAAGGGCCCTGGGCGGCAGGGCGGCTGGCGCCCCCCCCCCGGAGCCCGCTGGGATCCCAGCCCCGGGGGCGGGACACGGGGCATTCCTGGAACCCAGGTGCTCGACCCCAGGTGAGCCACGTCACCGCGGCGGAGAGAAAGGGAGACGGAAAACGGTGAAGCCAAACAAAGGGGCGGGAAGAAAACGCGGAGCGACAGGAGCGTTCCTCCCCCAGCAGGGGAAAGGAGCCGCCGCCGGGGCGCCCGGCTCAGTCCTCTCGCACCATCTCGTGGTCCTGACTTGTGACTGCAGCACGGGCTTTTTTCTTTTTCTCTTCTTTTTTTTTGAGGCGGCGTCTCTGTCGCCCAGGCTGGAGTGCGGCCCCCGCAGCCTCGCCTCGCTGGGCTCAGGCGATGCTTCCGCCTCAGGCTTCGAAGCAGCCAGAACTACAGAGGCGTGGCTGCCACGCCCGGCTAGTTTTTGATTTATTGTAGAGACAAGGGCTCACCAAGATGCCCGGGCGGGTCTCGAACCCTCTCGGGCTCAGGCCATCCACTCGTCTCCGCCTCCCAAAGAGCCGGGATGACAGGCTGAGCCCCCGAGCCCGGCCAGCACGGACTCCTAAGGGCGGTCTTGACGCAGGGAGGTGTCCCGGTTCTCTACCCTAGGGTGTGCAGGGGAGACAGACCCAACAACACAAAGGGTCACTGGAGCCGAAACCACCGGCAGGAAAGCACGCCCTTTTCCGTGGCAGGCCTTGTTGATTTGGATTCGAAATGCTGTGCCATGAAATGCTGTGCCATGAAAGAGCAGATGTGTATCTTGCTCGATCTGCAGGGTAATGGAGACGGGGTGGGAAATTCCCCAGGCCCCAGCCATTTCTTTAAAAGGATTCAGGTGTGGAGCAGACGATTAAAATCTCTGTCAGGGAAAACTACTTCTTTATTAGTAAAGACTATTTGTTACTTCCGTTTTCTGACCCGATCCAGAAGACAAACATCCCTAAGTTTTGAAGAGGAAAGGGCAGGAGCCACGTCACCTTGGAATCCTGGGCTAGAATTCACTCCCCAGTAGGGGAACCCCAAGTTTTATTCTCCTCGAATCATTCGCTCTCCTTTGAAAAATGCACAGTGCAGGTTCTGCCCAACTTTTCTCTCTGCCGATTTCCCCCATTCTCAAATAAGAAATATTTGAGGTTCCCAGCGATCAAATCTTGGTACTGGTGTTCACCGGTTAATATCATACAACGTAGAGCTTTTCAGAAGCCAGAGCTAATGTGTTAGGAATGAAACACGTAGGTACACGAAGGGTTACACTTTTAGAAATACGTACGGATACCCTGAATGATAATCCTTGCCTGTGTTAAAAGTTTTCACATGTATTCGATTCTAAGAGATGACAGAAAGATCAAGTAAATAACAGCCTCTCAAAACTCCATTTCTCGGAGCCTGTATAGATGAGCTGAACAACATGACGGCTCTGAGCAGCAGTCTGCTTTCTCTAGACTCCTCTGCATTCTTTTCTGGGTCACTATCCACGCACCTATCTTTGACTGGATGAACAGATGAAGGCGCAGCCTAGACCTGTCTGTACAGAGAAGAGCCAACATTTGTTCCCCAGCACACCTGTGCAGGTTTAGGGGGTCACTAGTTCCTCCGGAGGTGATAACGCCTGCTCCTATATGAGAGGCAAGCGGTACGTTATTTTGGTGCTGGAGGCTGAGAGTCTAAGGGTGCTACAGAAAATTCCAGTTTGTTGCATTCATTTGCTCTGGTGGCAAAGACCCCTTGGAATGGACTCCACTTGCAGCCGGACTGTCAAGCACACGGAGCCTGGAATCGTTGGAAAAGCTGGGTTGGTTCTGTCTATACTGCATTCAGGGGCCTGGTTCTTTGCTTGAAGGCCAAATGAGATGGAAGATATTAATTACAGGGCAGACAACTGGCAGAGACAGGAGAGCAGAAAGATGTGAGGGAGTTTGGTGGTATCTTTGGTGAAGTTATCGCACTTTGTTTTGTGTTTTACTCTCACAAATACGGTCTTCTTTTCTCTCTGTTTGTTGGACCTAATCTTAGAAAATAAACTTTTGTAGGCAATGAGGGGAATTTATCTTAGCTACATGATATGGGATCCCTGCTGGCTCTTAGGGAGGAGTCAGTTAGGAAAAGAACTCCCTTCTGAAGCAGTGATGTGCATGATGGCTGATTAGATTCACTAGCATTTAATATGGGCTCTTGCAAGTCCATCTTCTAAGATTTCAGCACCAAATAGGACACTAATAGAATCTGCTATGGCAGGATCCTGGAAATAAGCAGACAGTTAGTTATTTCTGCTTCATCCCCCTCCCAGGATCCCTGGGACCACTGATAAAATCAGACACTCTCAGCAGCGTCTGCTGGGAAGATGTCGAGCTCTGGGCCCACTGATGGACACAACTGACTAGATCAGTGATGGAAACTTGACCAAGACAACATTCTGGAAGCCACAAGGGGGTATATGCCAGGAAAAGGGGAGGGGCAGGGTACGAGGCAACTGGTAACCGCAGGAGAAGAGGGAGTAGACTCCCCGGAAAGCAGCCATACATCAGAGCTCTCTCGAGAAGGAAACAACTGGTATCTGAGGCTGGGATGACACAACCACCCTAAATGAGCAGCTTTCAGCTGACTGAGGACATCCTGGCTGCTCTCTGTCATTTCTGTTCTATTTACTCTTCTCAAATAGTTTGACAATAACCCCCATTGCCTGGACAAACTGGGTGTGTCTCCCTGTTCCTTAAGGAAAATGCACAGCCAGCCACTCTGCTCCCTCGTGGGGATGGTGGTGGCACAACTGAATGAGCACCATATCACTTCTCTTTGTTCAGCACCCTTACTACCCACTTCCCTTTAGAAATGATCCCAACTCTCTATTCATTTGGCTCTATGGGGGGATGTTTGGCAGATTGCATTCTCCAAAGGTGACCACAACAATATCCCCTGCCTCACGTATTCTTCTACAATATGACCTTGGCATTTCTCTATGAACGGGATGGGCTTGTGACTGCTTCAACCAAAAGCACAACAGAAGCCATGCTGTGTGGCTTCCAAGGTGGGGTACTTAATGGCAGCCACTTGTCTCTTGATGTGTGGCTGGGTGGGAGGGAAGGGAAAGATCCCAGTTGGGAGGTTCCAAGAGGGATGACCTTTTCTCCTCATCATGGCTAGGGTACCATATCTCCCCCATTCTAAGATGTTGCTCATTTTTCAAGTACTATCCATGCAGTGAAGGCTTTAGGGAACAGAAAAATCACCATCTCAATGTTAAATGGGTCAGCTATTATATGCTGCATTAGAAGAAGCATTCAAATATGAAACAAATGCATGAAATGTGAGAAAATATGGTACGTTTTTTTCAATGCACTTGGACATATTCCAGTACATTCTGACAGTATAAGAGAAGGAAAATTGTAGACCTTATAAACCCCTGACTTCTCTGGTGAATACCATCCATGCCAATTTATCCATTAAACGCAGTGCATGGGGGCTCATGATAATTTTAGGGACCCACAAAAAAAGTCCATTTTTTTTAAAATCAAAAGAAAAAAAATGAACTTTTAGGTTGAATACAGTGTTTTAATGTATAACAGAAATATATTTGTTGTTAGATCAATACACTCATAAAATATACTATTTGTGAAAGTTTAAAAGTTGATATTTAATGTGTTTTCTGAAGGAACGTCATCATGCAGCTGAGTTGTCTCTGATCACCTGCCAAAGAAGATGCTCAAACACATACAAGCTCCTCTTTCTCTCTCTCTCTCTCTCTCTCTCTCTCTCATCAGGATCTCATTCTGTCATCCAGGCCGAAGTTCAGTGACTCACGGCAGCCTCGACCTCCTGGGCTCAGGCAATCCTTCCACCTCAGTCTTTCATGTATCTGGAACCACAGGCATGCGCCATCACACCCAGCTTCTTTTTTTTTTTTTTTTAATTTATGGTAGTGACGAAGTCTTTCCAAGTTGCCCAGGCTGGTCTCAAGCCTCTGGGCTCAGGCAATCCTCTGGCCTCCGCCTCCCAAAGTTCTGGAATCACAGTAGTGAGCCACCACACCCGGCCTTTCTTTTTACCCTCTCCGCATCCATCTCAAGGAACCTCTAGAAATGAACCCCCAAAGGGCTTTTCTCCATTGAGTACTTCCATATTTGGAATCTAGATGGCTCCATTGCTCTAAAGTTAGGTGTTTGCTGTGCTGTGATTTACAAGGCTGTCAGAAGGCTAGCTGATGCCTCCCATGGAGCTGGCAGTGGTTACTTTCGGTAGAGATAGTTCAGTGTGCACAGCTGGGGGGAGGCCTGGGATTTTTCATGGTTGTCATTCTTTTAAACCCTCTGTTCCTGAGGATAATCCATGGAAAGTAAAACCTGGCCATCATCTTAAAAACTCTACTTGAATTATTGAGCAAGCCAGGCATGAAAAATTTAAATGTCTAGGCAAACAAATAGGGTGCATAAAAAGATTTTATTGAATTTCTCCAAATCAGGGAAGAATAGTAAATGACTGCTTTAAAAAAAAAGATATTACAGAAAGTCCCTGCAATTTGTTAACATATTTCTTGGCTTCCTTGAAAATCATAGATTCAAATATTTAGGAATAAGCCAGCAGAAAAAATACAGTTCTCTAAAGTTATTTCATAGTTAGGGAGATGGCTTATAAAATGTTTGAGTGAAACAATAAATTTTCCACTTTCGAAATTCTTAGCCTAATCTTTTAGACCGGATGGTTTCTCATAAATCAATGAAAATAGGGCAAATCAACTTTATCTTCTCTAACTGTTTAGGGAAGAACATCCATGCAAATGGGTATGAGAAAAAGCAGTGTAATCAAGGTGCATACAAAGAGCTTTAAAACCTACTCAGAGCATTCTTGAGACAGGAGGGTCATTCCTTATATTTCTACTTTTAATTTGTGTCTTACATCAACAGAGGCTTTTTAACCCTTTTCCTCCCTCTTGGCCACTTTGGAAAACTGATTTGCTCCTATCACATTCAATTCAAATTCCATATAAATAATAGGTGCCCTTTCTGTAACGTGAATTGCCAGCGAGACCTAGAACCTCCTTCCTCTGTGAGGCATCAAAGATGGCGGCTAAGGGATAATGCAGGAAGTGGAGAGACACCGTAGAGTTTTCTGAGGTGACACATGCTCAGACATTCTCTTCTCTGTAAAAAAAAAAAAAAAAAATGAGACAACTAAAAATATGTTCAGGTGAGGGGTTAAAACATTCCCCTCAAATGATGAATTAATCATTAATAATTATTTCATGTGTATGCATGGAAAATAGGCTTTATTTTTTAACTGAGGAGACATTATTCAATATGGCATATGGCATGGTAAGTCCTAAACTGTTGGTAAAACTAAGAAGTAAAAGAGAAGAGAGTCAAACTATAAAAAGATCATTAATTGAAAGTGAGGAGAGCACAGGCAAACAGTAGCTGTTTACCATAGACAGTCAACTGTTGAGAGCAGGTTGATAATTTACTCTGGAGGCCCCCAATGCTAAATATGTCTAAACAGTACATGTATGTGTCGGCACAATTTTAAGCATGTCACTATGTCAACTCAAGCCTCATGACAATCCTATGAGGTTAGGCACTATGACCATCTTTTTTTCACAGAAAATGGTACAGAGGGAACTGAGGCGCCAAGATGTTAGATGACTTGCTCAAGGTTACAGACAAGCAGGGGCAGATCTAGTTTGAGCCCATTTGGTATCAGACTATGTGATCTTACTCCTGATCTGCCTCTCATATCCAGCTTGGGACTGTGGCAGATGCTGTGGGTGTTCTGTCCATCTCTACTAGAACTCATCGTCTTAGAGACCAACAGTCACTTGCTGCCCAGGACTCTGATTGTAGATATTTGTCACACACAGGCTGGTGGGAAGTACGGAATTAACACCCATCTCTCATCCAGCAGCTGTCAGCCAATGACCAGCTGGAGAGGGTGGGTAAATACCAGCTCCCTCCCAATGGGCTCCTTTCAGTCTCTCAGAGGCTCCTAGCAGATGCACCCACAATGGTCATCCGGTCTTTCATGTACCCCATGCTGGCTTCCTTCCCTTCCTCCTCCAGCTTCCTCACTTCCACAGCAGTTCTTCCTGGGATCTCCTCCCAACTAAACAGCTTACACTCAAATTCTTGTCTCGGGGGTCTACATCTCAAGGACCCAGCCAAAGATGTGAACTTGAAGTTTGAAATATCCTGAGTGCTATGCATGTTTGTTGTGCTATATTCACGATAGCAAGAGCACGGAACCAACCATGCTGCCCATCGAAGCTGGACTGGATTTTAAAAATGGGATACAGGCCAGGCTCGGTGGTTCAGCCTGTAATCCTAGCACTTTGGGAGGCCAAGGCGAGGGGATTGCCTGAGCCTGTGGGTTCGAGACCCTCCCGGGCAACCTCATCTCTACAATAAATCAAAAATTAGCTGGGCATAGTAGCGCGTGCCTGTAGTTCCAGCTACTTGGAAGGCTGAGGCAGAAGGATCGCCGGAGCCCAGCAGGTTGAGGCTGCGGTGACTGGGAACGTGCCACTGTACTCCAGTCTGGGCATCAGAGTGAGACTCCAACTCAAAAAAAAAAATGTGGTACATATACGCAAGGGAATACTATGCAGACATAAAGAAGGACAAACATATGTACTTTGCAGCAATTTAGATGGATTTAGAGTCGATCATACTCAGTGCTCTATCACAGAAACAAAGAACAGAGTACCATATGTTCTCACTCATATGAACCTTGAACACTTGTCATAATACTATAAGAAGGGGACTGGCAGTACTGGGAAACTGCCAGGAGAGGGGTGGGTGGGATTGGCAACTGAGAGAAACTGCCAGGGGAGGGAGAGGCACACTTCATCAACAAGGGTACCTGCATAATGAACATTTGTATACTTGAATTGTACCCCACATCTTTAAAATAAAATAAAGTAAAATAAATATCATGAGCACTAAATGAATCATTGGCACATATGAAAATTGTCATACAGCTAATTTCTTTTCTTTCTAACATGCTACATTGACTGCCCTACCCCTCAAAAATTAATCAATCTGCAAGAAACATCAAAAATCTACCAAATTATTTTAAACATTTCTGGGTAATGGAGGAGATCATTTATTTCTAAGCTGTGGTACTTGAATGAATGAATTTGGTAAATGTTTCTTAACATAAACTTAGCCTCGGATAGAACTTCAGAAAAAAAGAAAATATATTAACTGTTGCATGACTATATCAAGGATCCCAATTTTTTTTAAGTTCTGACTTGCAATGAAATAACACAAATAAGAAAAACATTAAAAATACCCAGATCAAAGTTTAAAAGATGCCACATTCCATTGTAACTTTTAAAATATATTAAAAATATACTGAACTCTTGAAAATAAGAGTTTTTTCCTCACAGGCTATAAGATGTAATATTAAATCGTATTTTTTACTTTACTCAAAATATAGATTAGTATCTAGTTTTTTTAAAAAATCTTGTCCAAAATCCCTTTTGAACTATTTTTATTTTTCTCTTTAGACTCTTTCCTTGTTCTTCCATTTTATTTCAATAGAGATTGTATCAACAAAAAGCAAATTACAACTTTCAAGATTGGGCTTAAGCAATGTATTGCCATCACCTTTCAAAGCACAATAAAGCAGAACATTCGATTTTTTTATTTTATTTTTTGTAGAGACTGAATCTCGCTGTGTTGCCCAGGCTGGTATTGAACTCCTGGCCTTGAGCAATCCTCTCACCTCGGCCTCCCAAAGTTCTGGAGTTAGAGGCATGAGCCACCACATCCAGCCCCAAAGTAGAACATTCTAAAAACAACTGTGTAAAAGAAGGTGTGGAACCCCCCAATGATTGTTCCCTAAGTGCCTCTCTTTGGGCCCCATGGGAGCGAGCCGAAGCCAGCACTATTCTTTCTCATCAAGACCTTCTCTGACTCAGCTCTGTGAAATCGTTCCCCTGATACAAGCTTGGATAGGTTCCATAGCTTTCTAGGCACTTTCTGGTAATAAAAGTTCTCCTGAAATTGTTAAATAATTTAGATCCCATTCAGTGTGATATCCAAACTCCAGCATTCATTTAATTTAAACTTCCTCCCCTTCTTCAACACTGGCCTATTTCAGACAAAGAAAGGCATGGATGACTTCATTCTGCGCAAGGTTTGAACCTTAGGGAAGGGAAGAAGGCGCCTTATGACCCAAATGATCTTTCTCACCCAGAGCATTGTAATTTGGTTGCACAGTGGTTGGCCCCTTCTTCATAGGATTTTGGTGTTTTCCTGGGAGTTCCTCTTGTGAGACACCAGTAATGGCAGTTCTCTGAGGTAGACGACACATCATCTGGCAGGTCATGTTCACTGCGCCTCTGGCCTTTGGGCTTCTCTTGGACCACCTGTGGGTGAGTCTCTTTGATTCATGGGGTGCTCTTGGTGAATACCTTCAGGCTGGTTCACACTGGGACTCTTTCATGGCATCCTGGACTCTGGGGAAACATGCACAGTCTTCACTGGCAACTGGCAGGCAACATCGGCCTGCATCTCACCTTTGGATTTTCTGTGGTCCAACACAGCAACATGAAGGGCAAGGGGATGGAAAACAAAGATGGGGAGAGAGAGAAACGTGAGCCAGGAAGCAAGAGAGGAGAAACTGTACTGAATGAATCTAAACCCCACACACTGCTCCAAAGCACAGAAAATGACAAAATACTTCACTTTGTTCAACAAAAGCAGAATGGCCACAATATTGAAAGACAACCCAAATAACATCAAACGACAGCAGCAAAAATACTACCCTAGTCTTTCTTATGAGTATAGACATGAAAAATGATAAATACTAGCAAGTACAATTCAACATTAAATTAGATAAATACTATACAACAACCAAACAAAATATTTCCCAGGATCGTAAAGATGAGTTATATTGTATTATAATATATATAAGTCCATATATTTATACATATATGTGTAATGCCAATTGTTGAAAAAAAGTAAAAGTAGTATGATTATTTCAAAGGATAATGACAAGATAGTAATGAAATTCAACCCTGATTTTTTTCTTTCAGCAAACCAGGAATAGAAGGATGCTTCCTTAACATGAGGAAGGATATTTTAAACCAACCGTTAGTCATTTTCTTAATAGCAAAGTAAGCCCTAGAGTCATTCCCATTACTGGCAGGAAAAAAAGATTCCCTTTGTCCCCACTGTTATATGATACTGTCTTTAAAGTCCTATATAGTCTATTAATATTTGAAAAAGATATAGTTACTGGAAATGAAAAGACAACATAATAAACTATATGTAAATAATGTCACCATGTAACCTTAAAATTCCAAAACATCTTCTGAAAAAATTCTCAGGGTACAGATTTGAGACAAAAAATAAAAATTGAAACATATATTGCATATCTGTGAGAATATATTTAAAATAGAAAAACAACAACAAAAATCCTATTTACAATTTTAACAACAAGACACACAAAAATCCAAGTGATACACTTATGTACATGATCCTTGTGAAGAAAATCACAAAACCTGGCTGTGATTCATAAAAATAGATATATGGCATTTCTGGATGGGGAAAAATGAATATTGTAAAGATGTTAAGTTAATGTTTAGATCTAAGAAAACCCAACACAGATTTCAATGGAATTTTTACAAATTTGACAATGTGCGAATAAAATTCATCTGGAGGCAAAAATGCACATTAAGCCAAAAAGACCACAAAACGAAGAATCAAAGAGACTGGTTCTATCAAATGTACATTTTAAGATAATAATAAATAATATATCACGGCTAAAATTTTAGGAATTAATCAAATTAGATATTTTCTAAAGACATAACACTAAAGTAAACTTCACATAGCTGAATGAACTCAAAACAAAACATTCCAACACGAAACCATTTAGAGAAAATACAGAAAAAAGAAAAACCTAGAAGACTTCATTTAAAGGAAAATCTGAAGCCTCAATAAGTCAAGATATATATATATATATATTTTTTTTTTTTTTTTTAATTGGAGTCTCACTCCGTCACCCAGACTGGAGTACAGTGGCCGCTCCCAGCCACCACAGCCTCGACCTGCTGGGCTGCAGCAATCCTTCCGCCTCAGCCTTCCAGGTAGCTGGAACTACAGGCACGTGCTATCACGCCTGGCTAATTTTTTGATTTATTGTAGAGATGAGTTGCTTGGGCAGGTCTTGAACCCACGGGCTCAGGCAATCCACTCACCTCGGCCTCCCAAGGCACAGGATTACAGGCTGAGCCACCAAGCCTGGCTAAGTCAAGACATTTAATTACCAAAATTAAATGCAGACACAAAAAATGAGAAGAAAATTTGCTACGCATAAAACAGTCAAAAGCTGTTTGCATCCATGCATAAAGACCTTGGAACTCATATACCATGTTGAGAATTGCACAGAAATGAATAATAAAAATCAATATTCCTAAAATAGTCTTTTATCTACTAATTTTACTTGTAAGCATCTATCTTAAAAAGGATATTAGAAATGTACAAAAGTCAGCCAGGCCCGGTGGTTCAGCCTGTAATCCCACACTTTGGGAGGCTGAGGTGAGTGAATTGCCTGACCCCGTGGGTTCGAGACCCACCTGGGCAACTTGGCAAGACCTCATCTCCACAATAAATCAAAAATTAGCTGGATGTGGCAGTGCGCGCCTATAGTTCCAGCTACTTGGAAGGCTGAGGTGGAAGGATCGCCGGAGTCCAGCAGGTCGAGGCTGTGGTGGCTGGGAGCGGCCACTGTACTCCAGTCTGGGCGACAGAGTGAGACTCCAACTCAAACAACAACAACAAACAAACAAACAAAAAGCAAATTTGTTGTATCATCATTTAAGACAGGAAAGCACTAGAAATAGCCTACATGCCCAGCTGTAAAAGAATGACTATTGTACATCATATAACAGAATGCAGGTGTTAAAATTACATTTTGCATGAATATTTAATAGCATGTAAAATTGATCATGATATGATGCTATGTGGAAAAGAGAGAGAAATAAAACAATGACTTTAGTTTCCATAAATATGAATTATATAAAAACTTACATGTGTAAATACAGACACATTTGTAAAAGGGGAAGGAAATGTTTCAAGTTGTTAACAATGGATTAACAATGAATGATAAAGCCTTTCTCTTGATTTTCTTCTTAAATACTTAGGTAAAATTTTAAGTTGTATAAAATGAGCTCATATTACTTTAAAATTATTTTAGAAGAAAATATACACATGCTTTTAAATTATTAAAGTAAATAAGGACAAAGTTAGGATACTCACACTTCTCAATTTCAAAACTTGCTACAATGCTACACTAATCAAAACAGCATGACATAAGTATAGACATATATATCAGTGGAATAGAATCGAGTGTCCAGAAACAAATCATACATGTGTGGTCAATAAATATCCTACAAAGGCCCCAAGACCATTCAATGGGGGAAGAATAGTCTTTTCAACATATGATGCTGGGAAACTAAATATCCACATGCAAAAGAGTGATTTGGACCCCTGCCTCACACAATATACAGAAATTGTCTCTCGTGGAGCAAAGACCTACCTAAATATAAGTGCTAAACCTATTAACTTCTTAGAAGAAAACTTAGCTGTGGCATAGCTTCATGACATTTTGTTAAGCAACAGTTTTTTTAAAATGTGACATAGAAAGCACAAGCAGCATACCTCGAAAATCCAAAAGAATCTGTCAAAAACCTGCTGGCACTGATAAAGGACTTTGGCAAAGTCTCAGGGTACAAAATAAAGGTGCAAAAGACAATTGCATTCTTATACACCAACAATAAGCAGACAGAGAACAAATTAAAGCACAATCCCATTCACAATAGTCACCAAAAATTGAAATACCTCAGCATCTTCCTAACCAGAGAAGTGAAAGAACTTTACAATGAGAACTACAAAACACTGCTCAAAGAAATCCAAGAAGACACAAACAAATGAAAAAATATTCCATGCTCATGGATAGGAAGAATCAATATTGTTAAGATGTCCATTCTACCAAAAGCAATCTACAGATTCAACGTAACACTCATTATGTTATCAACATCATTTTTCTCAGACCTGGAATGACAATACAGAAATTCATATGGAAACATTAAATGACCACGAATGGCCAAAACGATCCTTGGCGAAAGAAACAAAGCAGGAGGTATCACACTTCCAGACTTCAAACTTTACTATAAGGCTACAGTAATCAAAACAGCCTGGTATTGGTACAAGAACAGGCACATAGACCAATGGAAGAGGAAAGAGATTCCGGAAGCAAAGCCTCAATTCCTCATCCAACTCATCTTTGACAAAGCCTCCAACAACAACCACTGGGGAGAAGAGAACCTATTCAGTAAATGGTGCTGGGAAAACTGACTGATCACATGCAGAAGATTGAAACAGGACTCCTACCTATCACCTTTCACAAAAATTAACTCTAAATGGATCAAAGACCTAAACATAAAACCTCAAACTATAAGAACCTCAGAAAATGCAGGAGACACCCTTATGGAAATTGGAACTGGCAACCAATTACTGATCAAAACCCTAAGTGTCCATACCATAAGAAATAAGATAGACAAGTGGTACCTCATCAAACTGACGATCTTCTGCAAATCAAAAGAAACCATCAAGAGAGCAGGGAAACAGTCCACAGAATGGGAAAAAATATTTGGCAACAGTATATCTGACAAAGGTCTAACATCTAGGATCTACAAGGAACTCCAACGCGCTGAAAGGAAAAAAAAGCAAACGGCCCCATTGAAAAGTAAACAAAAGACATGAATAGACACTTCTCAAAAGAACATAGACAGGCAGCCAACAGACACATGAAAAAGTGTTCGGCCTCCGTGACTGAGCCTGTAATCCCAGCACTTTGGGAGGCCGAGGCAAGTAGATTGCCTGACTCCAAGGTTTGTGACCAGCCTGGGCAACTTGGTGAGACTTCGTCTCTACAATAAATAAATAAATAAATAGCCGGGTGTCGTAGTGCATGCCTGTAGTTTCAGCTACTTGGAAGACTGAGGCAGAAGAATCGCTGGAGCCCAGCAGGTCGATGCTGGGGTAGCCGTGAGTGTGCATGCCACTGCACTTCAGCCTGGGTGACAAAATGAGACTCCAACTCAAAAAAAAAAAAAATTCCCAACCTCACTCATCATCAGAGAAATGCAAATCAAAATCACATTGAGATACCATCTAGCCCCAGTAAGAATGGCCATCATTTATAAAACAAACAGCAGCAGATGCTGGTGAGGATGCGGAGGAAAAAGAATACTTCTACACTGCTGGTGAGCAAGCAAACTAGTGCAACTTCTTTGGAAGACAGGGTGACGACTTCTGAAAGAACTAGAAATTGACCTTCCATATGACCCAGCGATCTCCCTATTGGGAATATACCCAGAGGAACTCAAATCATTCTACAAAAAAGATACCTGCATATGCATGTTTGTTGCAGCTCTATTCACAATAGCAAAAACAGGGGATCAACCATGCTGCCCATCGAAGCTAGACTG